TGCCGATTGCACGCCTCGTCGGTAGTCCTCACATCACTTTCACCATGTCATCCTGCTCCTTTCATGTCATGTCACTCTTCGGTTCATGGAAGCGGCTAGCATGCGGGAATGAATGGCTCTCCTCTTTTCGACTTTTTCATTATACTAGTGTTTTGGCAGACACGAATTTGACCGCATTGATCATGCCTTCTCATTTACTGTGGGTAAGAAAAAACTCGAGTACAAAATATTTTTCTCATCTTTTGGCAAAGTTCAATCATGGTTAATGGTCATGTGGCTGCGGCGTGCTCTAAAGGCTAAAGGTGTACCTGTGCATCTGGGCATTGTTGTGTAGCAAATGGGGGCCCTTCTGAAGATCTAGGACGCGTTTGGATGCTTGCCACATTTTACCATAGTACTCATGTGTAGTACTACTTACTATCCATGTTCAAGACTAACAGTCATTGATGGGGGATTTGGTCTTTTTGCTTTGGAGACTAGTCTTATCTGCAAGTCATGGGTTATGTGGCCACAACAGAGCTGAGAGCATGTGGTCAGCAGGTTAGGCAATTTTTGTTTACCTCGCAGGAGGTTAGGCATCTTGGTATATGAATCACGGCACTACCATGTCACAAATAACTATATTGAGCTAATGCTGCTGAAGCTGAACTTCTACTTGTTGGGGCAGGTTGTAGCAACATCTTAGGACAGTAACAGTTACCCTTGTCATGTGCAAAAAGGGCTATAACATTACTCCTATCTTATAGAGAGAAAAATGGCAAGGGGTGAGGAATGTAAAAGGAAGTGCAGGCTGGAATCTCTTGGATCTGAATGCAACGTGGGACCAAGACAAAGCGTGATCCATGCTAGTGGCCAACTGGAGGGAGTGCTGGGAGCATGTAGCATTGTCTGGTATGGGAGCAGTATTATTATTATCTGGACACATGCCTACGGAAGTATAATGCTCGATCTGCAGTTTCCCTCACAGGCTGCTTTAGAGTACTATAGCACTTAGCCTTGCTCCAGGGGTAGCTAATGTGGATGACGAACACTGAGTCTGGCCTGTAGGCATTTGGTGGTTACGTGCTCAGGCAACACTGAATGGAAACCTCTGAATATAATCTGAGTGGCCCAGGATGCTCATTTGGCCATTGGGGCTTTCTACAGTACCTAGTGCCATTTAGATTGTGTTCTCCTTTTCAAGGGGTAATGTTTTTGTCTGAAATACCAGAACCTGTTCATGCATATTTGATTGAAAGTCTTTTTTATCATCAGAAAAATAACTTTCTGTTCTTCTGGTATGGTTTCCCAGACCTATTGGTAAAGCTTTTGATTTACTTTGCAACATGGTGTTTCTGTGGTGGGACTGTGGGAGGGCCAAAGCTTCCCCATGGCATGAAATTTACGTGGGCTCCCATGTATACTCATGTACTATCCACTAACAAGTGTCGTTCTTTTCAGTGGTCCTGAGGTCCAAGGACTATGTAAACAGACAATTTTGTCCTCATTTGATAATTTACAGGTGTAGGTTATTTTCAATTTTGCCCATCTTCCTTCTCTATTAATATATGCCCAGCAGATCTCCTGCTGGTAGCTTTACCCATCTTTTTCTTAGTGGCCTTAGAAATCATATTGCCTAGGATTTTGCTGTGCATCTCTGTGTTCAAAGCCCGTAAACATGTCAGACTAGTTTTTTTTGTGTTCACATATTGGACCATACACGAATTTTGCTTCAATCTTCAACATCCACTCTGCTTTTCTAACAAATGGATATCTTTTGCTATGCAGGTCATGACAGCTGTTTATTTCCTGGAAGGTAAATTGCTGCAACTTCTCCTTTGTCATGTCGATGATATTGTTCTATTTATCCATTATTATCAATGCTTGTTAAACAAAAACTGTTTAGTAGTGGTGGTAAAATCATTCTATTCTTCCACTTGCTTCCAATCTCAGTATGCTTATTATTGTGGATTTAGGGCCCTTTGCTGTGCAAACCCAGCCTGCTTTTGTAACAAAATCTGCTGAACCTCTGTTTTTTATGAGCTTGCAAGAAGCTCCAACATCAATAAAATTGGTGGGGATCCCCCCTCTCCTCAAAGAAACACATACATAGAAAGGACACCTGAGCTTAAGGAATCATACAACCCTACTAAGAGGTTGACAACAGACCATTTATTATTGTAGATAAAAAAATAGCAGCTAAAATTACCTTCCAGTGGACATTTCTGTTTTTGAAAAATTGTCTCATGCACAATAAGCATAAAGTCTGTTTTAGTGATTCGGAAGGATATTTTTTTGATATGAAATGTAAATCAGATGCTGCATGTCATATCTCACTCCACACTTAAGCTTTGCTAATGCTGGCCTTCATCATGCAGTAAGCTGCTGAGCAACAGCACTGGATCTGGCAGCACGAACACATCTACGACGCCCACAAGTGATGCGGAGGGATCTGCAATATGGAGACTAAGAACTGGAAGGGACAAAGGGTTCTTGCTCTTCCTTCGGTTGGTACTTAGCATTGCAGTGGTTATCGTGGTGGATTCGAACTTTTGGACATGACAAGAGGTTGTTAGCTGTATAACAAACTAAAACCAGAAATTTTGGGTGGTATGTTAGAGGAGGAAGGAGGGGGTGGGGGGGGGGGGATTGGGTTATGCTTAGTGATTCTTTATTGTTAGATAAGCATTAATAAATTGATCATTTTTCTTCATCTAATGAAATGTGTCTATAATCTGCTGAAATGTCTCGACATTTCAATCTTTTTCAGTCCATGTCCATACAATAGTGCTGGCTGATTATGTGTATTTTCAGCTACAGAACCCGAGATATTATTTTCCATTATCTAAGAAAAGTGTGCTAGAGAATATGCAGTATAAGATGCAACTCGTTTCTGGTTGATATCTCAACGTAAGAACAATTCTCAGGATTACAATGCAAGATCGTCAACAACTAAGAAGTTTTTACACGCACGAGAAGTAGAAAGTAGGATTATGACCACCCGTTTTCTCTTGATTGAGGCGGAGAACCGAAATTCCTATCTATCTTACGCAAGACGCGAGATTTATGCCTGTACATCTTTCAGTGTTTTTTTTTGATGAAGAGCAATTTATTAATTAGCAGCAAGAAGCTGCAATGAGGGTGAATGAATCACCCAGTACAGAGTTTATAGCTGTCAAAGAGGGACAGCTGTTTACATGGAAAGGATTCGTACATGTAGTCACTAATTCATGGGAGTTGCTATTAGAGGAGTTGAAAGCTTGAGTAGCTAATATATGCGATGTAATATTAAGCTTCCTATCTGTCTTAAAAGTTCTAGCATTGTTCCTTGAAGTGTTGTTGATGAAGATTTGCGTAAAAGGCTTGATTTCCCATTGAGGTGGATTGCTGTGATCCTTTCCGTTGAAGAAACTTACGAGCTGTTGGTTGTCCGATAGGAAAAAGGGTTGCTGGATTCCAAGTGTGCAGAGTACTTGAGCTCCAAGTGCTAGGGCTGCAGCCTCAGCCATTAGCACAGAGCTAGAGTTCTTGAGCAACGCCTTAATATAGATAGTCGACGAGGAGCCTGTTCGATTGTTGACGATGAATACTCCTAATCCTGCTTGTCTTGAGACCCGTGGGAGCATGTCTGGAGTGGTCGATGCATCAGTATAGCATCTTGTGCCGGGTAATAATCCCGGTAGTTCATTTCTTTGTTTCTTAATCTGTTTTAAGTTTAGATTACAGTAGAGTTGAGTAGAGCTGCGCTCTATCTCTTTTTTTATTTTTTTTTCTTCATCTGTACCTGTACTTTGTTTTACTTGGCTTTTATAATTTACAGTAGGGGCTAAAACCCCTCCTGATCACTTCAAAAAAAAAAAATCCCGGTAGTAAGGCTCTGTAAAGAGGCGGACCAGGTAGGGCCACTTGTGGATGGCCGAGAAGAGATGGAGGATTGTTTGATGATTAATTAGTTGAAGTCTCATACATGAAAAGCATTCTCTCTCAGATCATGAGTCCATTTTCAATTTCGTTTGAAGCATAGGTTGCTTCAATATCGACAAAATGTGTGTATTTTACTTTTTTTAAAAATATGAACATTCAAAATGTGCCACTTCAGTATTTTAAATATAATTGTTGGACATTTGGATATACCGCTTTGCCATTTTGACTGAAGATGTTGAATTAATTTATCTAAAATATTAAGTTAGGTTTCACATATTTTCAAATAAATTTTGAAAATATATTGAAGCATGTGTAAATGTATGAAACCATAATCCAATAAGCATGTTAAGTTACATGTTACAGAGATTGGAACAAAAAAGAAAATAAATGACTTGCATCTCAATTGTTGGTAGGCTGCAATAACTAGACCCATCTTACCCTGGACCATCGTGATACGATCTGCATCTGAATTTGTACTAAAGCTATATCTATGCTTTTCTGTAATTAATTATCTGATTTTAGAGTTCAGCGAGAAACAACGTACTTTCATAAAAATTGAGAAGGTAATATAGACTTTTTCCTTCTCATGGTCTTCTGTTCATGTGGACCGAGGCCCAGTTAGGCAGCCGGCAGCAAATCCGCCGGCGGCACGTCCTTCTCCTATTCCTTCGTTCTCTTCCACGCGGGCAAGAGTCGTCCACGCCGGCCCGCACGTTACTGCCACGCGCACAGCAGGCAACGAACCCGAGCCGAGTCGTCCGCGCCGTCTTGGATCCAACGCCTGAGGAAGCGCGCACGCCTAGGGTAGGGGCGCGTGGGACCGCTGCTGCCGCCGCCCGCCGCCCGCCTCTGCAGTGTTGATTTGCTTGCCCGTCGTGTTCCGGCCGTCAAAAACCCCGCGGAATCGGACATCTACGGCAATGGAATCGGACGGAACGGAACTACGGAAGCGGAACCGAAGAGGAGTCGACTCGGAAGACGAAGATGTGTCGGAGTCGGATGGTGGGCAGGGCGAGACGAAAGTATATACGGCACGCCATATAATATAAGTTGAATTGCTCGTTGAGGAGGAGGAAAGAGCGCGCGTTGAAGAGAGCATGTCGAACAAGCGGCAGCAGTGCGAGCTTGAGCACTGCCCCTGCTGCCAGTGCCACCGCGCGGCCAAGCGTTTCAAGCAGCAGAAGAAGCATCTCTATCTCATTCTGGATGATTGGGAGAGGGGATACAGCGTCTACAAGGTCGATGTCGACGCCTTCGACCCCTCCGACGCTGGGCCGGAGCCCCTCCCCGAGCACCCGGTTGTCCGCTTCGAGGCCCGTCACGGCCGCTCCTGGTATTTCGCGTCCCACGGCACCAAGATCCTTGCCATGCAGCCATCTCCTTACCCTGCCTTCCCAGTGTTCTGATGTCCAGACGACGGCAATAAGCTCTCCTTTAAACCACTATTCGCGTCCGTCGCCAGCAGCCTCTACCTTCTAAGAGGAGGCCACTTCGACATGCTCAGCGCCGTGGCGCCACCGCCTGACAGCACGTACCCAGAAGACTCGGGGTGGTCGTGGAGCCGAGTCGGCTCTCCCCCGCCCTTTGACCACTGTGACCGCATATGGTCCTTCGTGCTGCACCCCGACGGGCGCACGCTCTTCGTCTCCCATGAACGGAGCACGTTCTCCTTCGACACGGAGAGCAAGCAGTGGGCGTCGCACGGCACTTGGTTCCTGCCGTTCAAAGGCGAGGCGTACTTCGACGCCGAGCTGGACGCCTGGGTGGGCCTCTGCTGCCATGAGGGCGGCGTAGGCTACCTCTCCTGCTCCGACGTCGCGCCGGCTCCGGCCGACGTCAGGAGCCTGCCCGCCTGGAAGCTCGGCAAGGACCAGCTGTTCGACGCGAAGTCCAGGAGGCACCTTGGGGCCACGCTCGTGTGTATGGGCAGCAGCAGGTACTGCCTGGTTGAGTCGCTGGCGCGCGACGACGAGGAGGATCTGCGGCGCCTCCACGATGATGGCTACTACCCGCATCGCCGCGTGCTCGCGGTCACCACGTTTGGTCTGGAGTACGATGGACAAGGACACCTCGTGACTACACAGCGCAAGGTGCGGTCCTACGAGATGACCGATGCTCATCAGCTTCCTGATCCGCATTGGAAGCCTGTTGCTTTCTGGATGTAATAATTAAGTTACATGATGATGCACAGATCGATGCTGTGATCATGTATTCATGTTAGTGGGAGAAAATGGTCTGGAGCCACTTGATCGAACTAGTTTCCTACCATATATAGTTTGGTCCCACTGTAATGTTAGTGGGAGAAAATGGTCTGCAGCCACTTGAAAATGTGTATATATCTTTATTTCGAACAAGTGGACAAGCACTTGTGGCACGTGTCTAAAAAATTCTTCAAAAAATAATAAATAAAATTCTAGAGGTCAACGCATATAACATATATAGAAAATATCCATGGTCTAGACATATGGTCTATGATGTTGAAAAAATTAATTGATATTATGTTTTGCTTTTATTCATTAGAAATATTGATAATTATTTAGGCATAATATAATGGAGTGCAAAGTTCATAAATCTTACACATTTTATAAAGAAAAATAAAAGTCATAAATTTAATTTAGATGTGATTACCAATTCAAACCCTAGAGTTCATAAAAAAATAAAACCAATCTAGATTAATTAAAAACCTAATCCTGATAATTTTAAATATACCTAAATGGATTCACGGATTGTTAATAAACATTCAGCTAAGACTACATTTAGTTTCATTTATTATATGAAACATTTAGATCAATCATAACTCTAATAAATTTATATCATCTGGTACCATAAAGTGAAAAATTGAGAATAAGATTATATTATAGACTCTAAAGAATCATCTTGTTCTTCAGCTTTACAAACATTTTAAACCAATGGAGTTGAAGAATTGTTTTACTAAAACACACGTATCTTGTTAGAGAAAAAAACACGACTCACATTTACTACCTTACTAGGTAAATACCAGTGCGTTGAGTGTGTATTATATTGTTACCCAAAATAGCTACTACAGTCGTGATCTTTGGAACATCAATATTACATAAGTCTTCAGTAAGATAGATAATCAAAGTATAATTCAAGTTTTGATGCAAAACTGAAACAATCAAGTTCATATGGTCAGAACCTAGTTCATTACGACTATCTAGCTATTGTATCACTTCATGTTTAGATACGCCTAAGATAATTTTGCACTTCTTTAGGAAGTGTAATTTTCCGAGAATTTCCTTGGTATACCAATAGGTGGATCACAAATTCATTTTGTATCCTTTGGGCATCCTGAATAAAGTCAAATATGAAATCAAAAAGTACATTCAGTAGCAATATATACATTAGAAATTGAAATGGTATACATATTACTATGCAAAAGCGTTTACGCTGACCATCTTAATCCGTGTGAGTTGACCATTATTTTAGACCGCCATTAGTTTTAGAGCACGGAAGCCAAATAAACTTTAGTAATAGAAATAAATTGTTAGCTATTATTTATATTATTATAATAAATATAATATTTTACGGGGTGGTTCAAAGAAACTTACTCGTTTTCCAATTAAAAATACTCGTTTTCTATCCAAAGCCTTGCACGTCCATGTCAAGCCTATAGTCTTGTTCCAGTCTAAGAATTGATTTTACATACCTTGTAAATGGTACATCGTCTTTTATCAAAGAAAAGAAGCCTACCAAATCTACAACGTGAGGCATCACAGTTCATATGAGGCCAACATGCACATGTTTCGCCGAGCTGTTTTTTCTTTTCCTTAGCCAACAAAGAATTAGGCGAGCCCAACGTCTAAAGAAAAATAAAAGGTCAGCAAGACATAAATAACATACATTATTCATTATGATATAATAGTAAAACATACTCACATAGAATCGCAAGTCCATGTAATGATTTGTCACAATCTTACTATTTCTATTTTGAAGACTGCCTGCTTCATTGTTTGCATGTACCCTAAACTCATGTTGAAGCACTTTTTGGACATGTTCTTACCCATCTGTATGAGTCCTTGGAGATCCTTAACACTTAAATTTATTTTGTACGGGCTAAAGTTTTCTTAGCCACCATGTCCTTTAAAATATAATAAATATACTAACGAGCCAAGGATATATAGGCAGAGAATAAAGTAATATAATAGCAATACATTGTTGCAAATAAATGGAGTACAAGTAGCTTACAACAATGTTGTATTGTCTTTAATGGACATAATATAATCACATATGAGATCTGTTAAATCCTTTTTGATCCTTGGCATGTCCACTGTGGGTAGGACTAACAACAAACAGAGGTCGTCGATTGTTAGATCGGAAAAGCGTGGTGATTGCCTTTGTTTGCTCTTGTTAGTTATAGTATTTGATGTGTTGCTTGTTTAATCTATAAGTACGACATCAAAAGGGCTCCTAGATTGTTCATCTTCGTTGGGCACCCATGTACATCCCTTCCACCTGTTTAGCTCTAACGACGGTAAGATTGCACCTAGTTTTAGCCTGAAATTTGTCATATGAACCTGCACGATATTGTCATTGTTAATATGTGTAATAAATATACTATTAGACATAACCTATTTATTAGGATAATAAGATTGGATGAGTGAGTTGTACCTGAGTTACGTTGTTAGACACATCCCTGACCAGTAATCTAGAAAGTTTAACATGAAAACGTGACACAAATATCTAAATAAAAAAGGCAAATCACTCATGACTCAACAATTTGAATTAATATAAATATATAAAAAGAGATATATTAGGCATGTATCCATATTCCCGTGTGTTCCAGCAGCTATGTATTTCCTCATGAGGCTAGGAAATAACCTGAAGGTTTGTGCACTTAATATCTTAATGGTTAAGTTAGATACACCGTGATACAAAGACAATGTATCTATGCAACCCATTCGGCTATTTATACAATATGTCTACATTCAAAAATTAGTATCATAATGAAAGATTTGTTAAGTTTAACAGATACATAATTTGTGAATGTGGACATATTGTATAAATAGCCGAGTTAGTTGCATAGATACACTGACTTTGTATCGCGTTGTATCCAACTTAACGATAAAGATATCAAATGGACAAACCTCCAGGTTAATTCCTAGCCCCGCGAGGAAATACGTAGATGCTAGAATACACAGTGGATACATGCCTAACATGTCTCCTTTAATCTCCATGTATTGATTCAATCTGATGAGTCATGATCTGCCTTTTTCATGTAGATATTCGTGTGGCCTTTTCATGTTAACCTTTATGTAGGGTCAGGGGATGTTCTGTCTGACGACGTAACTCAGGTACAGCTCTCACTAATCCAATCCTAATATCCTAACAAATAGGTTATGTCTAATAGTATATTATTATTACACATACATTAACAATGACAATATTGTGCAGGTTCATATAACAAATTTCAGGCTAAAACTGGCTGCCATCTTACCGTCATCAGAGCTAAACAGATGGAAGCGATGTCAATGGGTGCCCGATAAGATGAACAATCCGGGAGCCCTTCTGATGTTGTACTCATAGATGAAACAAACAACACACCAAATACTATACCTAACAAGAGGAAACGACAGCAGTCGCCGCACTCTTCCGACCAAACAACCGACGACCTCTCTGTTTGTTGCTAGGCCTACCCACGGTGGACATGCCAAGGACGAAGCAGGATTTAACAGATATCATATGTGATTATATCTTGTGCATTACAGACAATATGACATTGAACGAAGCTACATGTACTCAGTTTATTTACATCAATATATTGCTATTATATTATCTCAAAGCATGCACATATTCTTGGCTCATTATTATATATATATATATTATATTTTAAAGGACATGGTGGGTAAGAAGCTTCGCCCATACCAAATAAACTTACGTGTCAAGGATCTTCAGGGACTCATACAGATGGGTACAAGAATATCCCAAGAGTGCTTCAACATGGGTGTTAGGGTACATGCATATAATGAAGCAGACAAGCTTCAGAATACAAATAATAAGATCGTGACAAATCATTATATGGACTTGCGATTCTATGTGAATATGCTTTTACTATTATATCGTAATGAATAATGAATCGTGTGTGTTATTTATGTCTTGCTTACCTGAAAGGACCTAGGATGCCGACTAAAGGGGGGGGGGGTGAATAGGCGTTTCTGAAAATTAACACCTTTAAATGCGGAAACGATTAGTAAAGAGAGTTTCAAAAATGGAAACTCTAAATAAAGAGTAGTACCACCCCTCACAAGTTATCCACCTAGTATACAAGGTATAAAAGAATGTATCTAGAAGCTACAACCCTGCAACACAAATTTACAACTGCGAATAAATATTTTCAACACAGAGCTCTAATACCGGACGTGTCCGGTATGAATACCGGACGTGTCCGGTATGAATACCGAACGTGTCCGGTATGCACGGTTTCTACAGAACAGCTCCGAACTTGCTCCTTTCGATTTTTATCTTTAAACTAAACTGCAGGTACCTACTAGAGATATCAATATACACAGAGAACCTGCACAAGAGCTGGAGCAGCACAAATATCAAATGAAATGCGAATTGACACACGATATTTATTTTACCGAAGTTCGAACTCGTTCGAGTCCTACTCTCCGTTGAGGGGGCTGCGGGCGACCCAGCGAAGGTCAGCCCTAGAGGGTACCACGAAGGTCACTCTAGCTGGAGTCTTTTCCAACTCCTTTTCCTCCTTTCACTAATTGATTCCGAGGCGGCGGAATCGACCATTACAAACTTTTCGAGGCACACCACAATCTCTCGGCTGCTCTCCGGCGACGCCTAGCCGTCTAGGACCGAAGAGTCCAAGAGTAACAAATGCAAATCACGAGATTGACAATATGCACAAGTGCTCAAGTGGTGGCTAGCTCTCTTTTTCAAATTATCTCTTAACCCACAAATGGATCTTGCAATTTGGATCACACACTCACTAAGAGAGGGTTTAGGAGAGTTGGCAAGGCTCAAAAACGTGTATGTATGTTAGCAGAATCAGCAGCCTCCAAATGTGGAGGCTTGGGAGTATTAATAACCCCCCTTGAAAAACTAGCCGTTTTATAGCCGTTGCAATACCGGACACGTCCGGTATGCATACCGGACACGTCCGGTATGACTTACACTGCACCAACGGTAACTA